CGAAGCTTTAGATATATTCTCGAACCATGAATCAAATTCTTGATGAATAGACAGAGAGGATGGATGTGAAGGAAAATTCATCTCAAAGTATGAGAGTTTTCTTAAACACAATAAGGAGATGCCGAGGGACTGAGCCTTGATGTCTCATATGGAGTAGACAAGTATCTATTGCGAACAATAGTATTAGCAATTGTGAAAAGAGACAAGCAAGATGACAAATCATTTAGTGACACCACTGAATTGACGAATTGCTGAGGCTGAAATCATGAATGACATGAAAAAAAGCAATGCCTAGGTTTGTTTTGGAAGCTAAGGAACGCTAATGCCTAAGGTTGTGGAAAATACTAGAATAGTTGAAATGCGTCAAGAGGGACCAACAAAGCATAAGTGGAGGAGCACGCTGGACTACAAAAAAGTGTACCCCATAATACATGGTTAACCAATGCTTATAGCAATAGGTTGCCATTATTCAATGGTTTCATTTCTCAATTCACCACAACCAAGTGATAGGAGACATGAGAAAATAAGAGGGTTCACCATCCTCGATGGCTTAATTAAGTGTTATGCACGATGGAGTTGGTACGAAGAATGTGCACAACAAGTGACCAACACTTTGATTTCGGGGACGAAATCCAATCAAGAGGGGGAGAGTTATAACATCCCAAACTTTGGGTTACTTGTAAACCATTTCGGTTTGATGGAGAAAGGAGAAAGTTCAACCATTATGGAAAAGATTCTGAGTTTCAACTTGAACAAAGAATCATGACTTTTGTCAACTGGATACGAGATAAGATTGGTAAATAAATGCAATATGAATGAATATTAATAAATGATGAAATACGAACGCGCAGGCGCAAATGGGGATGAATTCTGATGTCTAACGAAAGAGTAAATAAATGCTATATGAATGAATATTAATAGATGATGAAAATACGAGTGCGCAGGCGCAAACGGGGATGAATTCTGATGTCTAACGAAAGAGTTTAGAATTAAATAGTGGAAGCCGCACCAAACAGCAATAAGAAAAATATGTGCACAGCCTAGGATCTAAACAGTGACCTCATGCCAATAAGACAAGCTTTACACCACTAGACTGCATGCGTGCTATGCATGCTAATGAGGAGTCTTCTGCATATTAATCTTGAGACCTAAATCTCAAGCCAACTAGCCAAGTATAATGCGTTTGCACCGACGGAGAGAGGGAGAAGACCAATTATTTTCCCGACAGATTTTAGTGATCACCTAACCTTATCCCTCAACTTTTGAACGCAATAATATAGAATGCATTATGGAGATTCTTCTTCTTCTCATTCTTCTTCCTCTGCTTTGAGCGAACCAAAAAAACCATTTGGAAGAAAGAAATGAGGATAGAAGAAAAAGGGAGGAAACCACCTTTCATGGCTCGGGTTAGAGTAATCGAGGGGTCCGGAAGCCATCTACGGAGTCAGAATTCAGTTTGGAGGTCGTTAGAAGTCTCGTCGGAGCTTCGCCGGATTTTCGTCGGTGGGTCACCGGAAAAACCAGAAAAATGAACTTCAACCATACTTCAAAAGATGTGTATGGTTGCGAAGAGGGAGATCCCAGGAGCGTGCACATTTTGATGAAATTGAGTTTCGACGTCGGACGAGGGAGAAACAGGCATCAGAAGTTTGGCACAAAAATTGTTAAGTCTAGGTACCATTTCTGATAAATCGAAAGGTTAAAGGACCTTTCTGTAATTTTCCCACAGAGACGGGTCAACATATTTAAGTTGACTGATAAACTTCATATTTAGTCCCTGGTACTTTGAGTACTAATGGAATTCGTATTTCGTTCATAATTCGTTCGTTTGACGTCCAAACGATAAACCGTCTTCACCTACAGGATTGTGAGAACGAGGAGAATATTTTGAAACCAAGATTTGGAATTTTCAGAGATGACACAGAATCAGTTTCGTCATAAATAAGGTGTGTGGCTTACGGTAAAAGGGAACCGGAATTACGTGTTTATTTCTAAATATGCATGATTGAGTTGATGATTACTGATTATGATGGATTTGTGATTGATTCATGATTGTGATATTGGATGAAATTGTTGATGAAATTAACTGATTTTTATGATAATAATTATTATCAATCTCGTATTGGAATTGTTGATGTATATGGTGAACTTTGAATATGTTCTGAAAATGCCTATTTGAGATCATAATAAGGAAAGGAAATTTAAGGAATCTTGAGACGACATTAGTCATGATATATTACCATGACAATGATTATATTGGTAATAATTGACTTTTCGGAGTTAATTGAAATTATGACGTTAAAAGGGTGAAATTGGGAAATAATAAATTGGATGAGGATATGAGAAGTGAATTCTGGTTAGAATAATTAAAATAAATAATTTATAAACTTTGCTGGATTTTTGGATGGATGAAACCGGTTTCTATGTGGTTTCGTTATTAAAGAGAACGTATTATGATTTTCAGAATAGTGGTGATTAAGAGAAAATTATTTAAACTAGAGTGTGAGTTCAAAGTGATTACCATGAGTAATTTTATCTTGGATTAAATTTGATTTACATTTTAAGATTAATTTTGAGAAATGGTTAATTGTGTATTTAATTGAAATATTAAAAATAGTCTTATTAATGAATCATGACGAACTATGATTTAGTTTGTACTTTAAGAAATAATTATTTAGAGATGTGTTATTAAGGGAGACCTTTTCAAATGAACTTTTGATAATAATGAGAATTATACATTGAGTATCGTCCTTTTTAGAATGGTTTCAAGTTATTAATATAAATTCATGAAAATAAGATTTTGATCGTAATATGTTTAGTTGATATGTTGATGAAATTAGTTAATGGACGATATGGATAAATTGATGTGTTTTTATTGTTATTATATGGTTCATATGATAAAATGATTTGATGACGAATAAAATAAATATTGATTATTGATATGGATGATTATGGCATGATGATGATGATGACAGGGATATTGAGTGATAGTGATATGATTGACGTGTATGAGTATGACGTGATTAGAATATCGATCGGTATAAATGTGATTGGTAAATATAAATATTACCGAGATATTTTGTGACAATGTTGATATGATGAATGCTTTGATTAATGATGATGTGGATGAGATATTATCATGATCGATTTGTATTTGATGTGTTAAATGATTACGATGAGTGAATGAGGTATTGATAAAGTGAGTACTTGGTAGATTTGTTAAGTTTGATTGAAGAGAATGAATTACTTATATCATTGAGGAGATGATGATTATATTGAGATCATGCAATGCATCAAAGTATGCATAGATGATGTGAGATATGCATGGACTGGGAGTATCAATGGGACGTTGTTGATTTTTTGGATCGATTGAGATATGATGGAAGAGAGAAATTGATATTGTTTGATCATGTTAAATCACATAGACATAGAAGGGCCAATGCCTACCCCTATGAGATTGATTGGGCTACGGTCCTAATGAAAGGATTTATGATAATCCTAGATTTGATGAGATTGTGGTTTTCGGTATAACCACTTAGATGATGAGCTCGAGCGGGGTGGGCGTATGGTGACCTTAGCGCGCAAATTAATAATTAATGAAGAGTCTGCATTTCCTGCATTGCATATGATATATATGATGGTGATGATTTCCATGAAGGAAATCGTAAAGTGATATTTGATTGATGATTGATTGAGAGATTGATATGGTTGCGCCGAAATGGTGATTTGATTATGGACGAATGATTGACATGCTTGATGATTAAATGATGAGTTGACTTTGAATGAATGGTTGATATGATGGATTCATGAGTTGAGGTAAGTTTATGATTTTATGTCGATATATGACTTGATTAATGAAAATCATGTCATGAGGAATTGGGTTAAGATGAATTTGGATTGATGACCTAGAAATAAATCTAGGGATTAATGAGATTTTTGTGTGGCATGATAATTTGTTGATGATGTGTTTTTAATCAACAAGATGTGATGATGTGATGGCATGCTAACAATAGTTTTGCCGTATAGGCCAGGTCCACACACTCAGCTTAGTAGCTGACCCATTTTTCTTTCTAGATGTGACAGGTGTGGTAAATTGAGGATGACTTTGGCACTGCACAATGATCGATGGAGGATTTTGGTTTAAAAGGTTTTTGACATATTGATGTACTCCGAAATCATTATTTTTACGATTCGGGTTTTGAGCATGCATGATAGTTTACGTTAGTCAAATATGATCATTAACTTGAGTTGAGCATGAACGGAGTAGACGAGATTGATAGTTTGGGTTTGGTGAATCCTGAATTTGACGAAGATGGATTAATGAATTGAGAATATGATTTTTAGTAAATTGTTATGATGAGTTGAATTTTAAACATATGAGAATGATGTGGATGTGAGTTGAGTCGAGATTTTGAAAACGTAAACCCCGAATGATTTCCGCTGCGCGGTTGAACCATCGGTTCGACCCATGATTTTAAGGTGGGATGTTACAGTAGGTCATTTGGGTGACTCGCAATCCGCCCACAACCCACCCACATAAGTGCGGGTGGAAGATTTATCAATCCGCAATCTACCCACATCAATCACCCACAGGCCACCACAGCAGGCGGATCGGGTTATTTGCGGGTGGATCGATATCAATCTGCGGATTACACACCCACATGCCCACTCATACTAGTAAGGCATCGCCAGACTATGGCACCTTATATTGGTTCTCTTAATATGAGAAAATGAGATCCCACGAGTTGTGACATTTGTAATTGCGTAAATAGTAATACATTGCTCAATACGTTAGAAGTTTATAGATAAAAACAAATAAAGTATTCTTTTCGGGTCATCTGGTGATGTTACATACGAGATATCGAAAAGAGTTCTTCAATCGCTAACTAATGATTGATTACTGACAACCACTTGAATATCGAACCAAACAATTAGTTTGAGTTCATGTGGAGGTGGTGACAACGACACTCATTATAAAGTTCAAAGCCGATAACTGCCTGCCCCATAAAATAAATTTAATGAAGCGAGACCACACCACCATCACTCATTAAGTGATTACTCATAACACCATTAAATTCTGAAAAAATGATAATTAATTCTTGCTTAAAATAAGTCGAATGAAGTAAGACTTACAACTACCAATGATAAAAACATAAATGTAAAAGAAAATTACATATGCATTATGCTGTTCCCCCCCCCCCCCCCCCCCCCCCTAATGACCAACATAAAACAAATTGTGAATTCATGGTGGAATCCTGAATCCACCTATCATTTGAAAGCAGAGAATAAAAATGCTGGGAAGACAAAAAGAAATTTTATACAAAGAAAAACAACTGAAGAAGTAGTCCACTCTCACGTGCACATCACGTGATCCAGGGGGCGAACCTCGCAAAGACGCAAGAAGCCCCCACAATCTCACCTCGCGACAAACAAATCTCAGCCGTCAATTTCCGTCACACCCGATCTCCACCGTTCAAACCGCATACTTCTTTCACATATTCCCTCCACAGCATCTGAAGACTGCAGTATCTCTCTCTCAGTTAATAATTCTTTTTTTCCCCTTCTTCTCCCTCTCAGTATCCTCCTCTTCCTCGCGCCTCCAGAAACCCTTTCCTGTCCTCCTCTTCCATCCGCCAAATCCCCCACAAACCCGCCTCCTGACCCAGAGAGACTCGTCGCGCGATCTCGAATTCGAAGTTCCCTCACTCGGAAGGTTGCAGTTCTACCCATGGATTCAGATCAGGGGAAGCTTTTCATTGGTGGGATTTCATGGGAGACGTCGGAGGACAAGCTCAAGGAACACTTCGACCAATACGGCGACGTCCTGCAGACCGCCGTCATGCGAGACAAAACCACCGGCAGGCCGAGAGGTTTTGGGTTTGTCGTGTTCGCTGAACCTTCCGTTCTCGATAGGGTTCTTCAGGATCAGCACACCATTGATGGTAGAACGGTGAGTCATGAACAATAAGAAGAAAAACAACCCCTCTTTAGGAAGAGAAAGAAAGTTCAGTTCTTGTTTCTTGTATTGAATTAAATTGGTTAATAGTGGGTGGGTTTCTGTTACTGTTGTTTTGGGGGGGTTTTGTTGGTGTTGATTTTGGGTGGATGTTTTTAGTTTGCATACTAGTTGGAGAGCTGTATTGCTCTGAATTCTTTGCTTGGTTGCTTATATGTGATGGTGTGCCATGGCGCCGTCCGACCTAGAGGTTTGATGCTTCGGTTGTTGGCCGCTCATTTGGGGTTGAAATTGTGTAATATTTGTGCCTATACCATTGCTTACACCTCAACTAAGTCCCTGTTTCGTTGTGTAACTTGTGGATATCTCTACGTTGAGTAATGGATGTGTCTGATTTTTTTTTAAAATTCTTTCAGTTCGATTGTATGTAATTTTTACCCTTCAACCATCTTGCTTTGGCCATTAGGTTGAGGCAAAAAGGGCATTGTCAAGAGAGGAGCAGCAAACCAATGTCAAAACTGGTAATTCTAACTCTGCTAGAAGCACCGGTGGTGGTGGTGCAAGTGTTAGGACTAAAAAGATTTTTGTCGGTGGATTGCCTCCCTCATTGACCGAAGACGGCTTCCGCCAATATTTCGAATCTTATGGCCAAGTTACTGATGTAGTAATCATGTATGACCAAAACACGCAGCGGCCCCGTGGGTTTGGATTTATTTCCTTTGAATCTGAGGATTCGGTCGATCGAGTGTTGCACAAAACATTTCATGATTTGAACGGGAAGCAAGTAGAAGTGAAGCGGGCTCTTCCTAAAGATGCCAATCCTGGTGGAGGCAGTCGCTCCTCTATGGGCGGTAATGGTGGTGGTTATCAAAGCTATGGCGCTTCTGGTGGGAGTGCAGTAGGCTCATATGATGGTAGAATGGATTCAATGAGGTATATGCAGCCACAGGCCGCTGGAGGCGGCTTTCCTCCTTATGGATCATCTGGCTACAGTGGACCTGGATATGGTTACAGTGCTGCTGCAAGCAATGGAGTTGGATATGGTGGCTATGGAGCTTATGGTGGTGCTATTGCAGGGTATGGGGCTCCTGCAGGCGCACCTTATGGAAACCCCAATGTACCAAATGCTGGATATGGTAGTGGTCCACCTGGTGCTCCTCGAAGTTCATGGAATAGTCAAGCTACCCCTGGTTATGGTGCAATGGGCTATGGAGGTGGTGCTGCTAGCGGTGGGCCAGGGTCGACTCCAACAGGCCAGACACCTACTGGACCGGGCGGGTATAATCAAGCATATGGATATGGTAGCTATGGGGCAAATGATGGGTCTTATGGGAATCCAGCTGGTTATGGTGCTGTTGGAGGAAGGTCAGGTGGTACACCAAATAGTACTCCTGGAGAACTACAGGGTAATGGTGGAGGAGGCTATGGGGGCGGTGGTTATGGTGATGCAAATGGGAGTGCAGGATATGGTAATGCAGCATGGAGTTCCGAGTCCTCACAAGGTTCTGGGAATTATGGATCACAAGCTAATGGTGGTGCTCATAGTAGTCAGCTTGCTTATGGTGGTGGTGGCTATGGAAGTGCTCAGGCTCGACAAGCTCAGCAACATTAAATTTCGTGGACCGATCTCCAACGTCTAATGCTGTGTGTGTTCCTGATGGGATGATGCTGGCTCAAAGTTGGGTAGATATTCACTCTGGGGACGCCGGTTGGATTGCTCAATTCCCAGTAGTTTGCACTACCTATTTTGCTAGCAGTACATCTAATAAGTAGTTTTGTTATGACATTTTCGGATGCCCTTAATATTTTGTTTACTGAGTGTAGCTTTAATTTGGCTTTCTTATATCATTTGTCTGCTATATTTCGTTGGATTTTTCACCATCAACCGTAGTGTTTGATTTAGTGTGCATGCAACCCGTCTTCCTCTGGTACATCATTAACTCACTATCATTTTCGTGACTTCTAACTAGCAGTTGCCATGAAACCTTTGCAAAACTCAAGGTTAGATAGGGTTGATGTAAAATGAGATAAGGGGATATAGAGATGAGTAGAAGTCCATCCTTTGATTCTGTGATAGCAGTGAAGCAAATAGATAGTTGGGTAGAGATAATGATAGCTAGCGGTAGTTCTCACTTTGAGGATGGCATAATCATTTTCTCCCCCGTTCTATATGTTGCACTTTGTGTTTGTACAGGAGGAGATGCTCGAGTTCAAAAGGTGTGAGTTAGTTGGAGATCCCCCCTAGCAACAGAGTGAATGGAATTTGAGAGGACTTGATTGGTTGGGTTTGTGAACTCAATTCCTTGATGCAGATTCCTGGCATCTCTGTTGGGCTGATGGATATTTGTGCGGCAGAAAGAAAGATTGTGGTACGTTGGCCTACAGATAGCAGTGCTTTTGTCTGAAGCTCTTGCAGTCAAATTCTTTAGGCTATACATTCATTAGTGAGGTAATTGTTCTGAGAGGTACTAGAAGTAGTTGGCTACTACTTTACTATTCGAAGATTTGGATTGAAATCAGTGAAAGCTTTTTGATGGTTCTGGGAAGTTTTTATTCTTGACTCACCGAATAGTAGGTCGAATGCTAGTGTAGATAGTCTTACTGGTCTTTTATCGGTTGTGATTTGCTGACCCTGAGGGGCAATCTATCTAACCAATCGTCTTCTTAGCAACATTTATTGGCATTGTGCGTCTTTGTGGTCCTAGTCGATTCTGTTTTCATCTGAATGTTTGTGTTTTGGGTATAAGATGTATGCAGTATTAGTGTGTTCGTATCGTTTATGCTTGCGCTTAGAATGTCGCACAAAGACTGGGTTTCTAGGAAGCGAGGGGCTGATAGTTAGATAGCTAGAGTTGCGATACTGACGAGAGATTTATGGCAAATGCAATGTGCCAAACGTTAGAGGATCTCAGTTCATTTTCTGAACAATCGATTGTTGAGGCAAAGAATACATTTTGGAGAAGCATTTGAAAGTTATTAACACCATGTAAAAGGGTATGGAATGGAGATTGTAGTCCAAATAGAAACATGGGTAGCCTTCACACTTGGGGGAAGAAATGGTAGTTTCAGTAGGCAGAAGCAAAGCCTTTGTAAGGGTTGCCTAGTGCTGGAACATTCCCAGGACGTGAAAACACAACCTGCAATGAAAAACCCCAAACATTGAATTCCTTCTTGATGCAGAGTGTTTGCATTCATCGTGCGATGAAAGGAAATCGATTCAAGTTTACCTGATAATTGCCAAGAGTGTGAGTCTTGAACCCAGCAGCGCAGTAATCGAAGTAGTACTCCCAGGTTCTGATAAACTTTTCGTCGAACCCCAACCCCTGAATTTTGCTGGCAACAGGGAATTCAAGTACATCAGAATCAGAATGAAGCTAGTGTAGGGGAACAGAGTCACGAGAGATTTCGGTTTAAGTCTTTACTATCTGTTCTCCAAGAAATTTTTTCTCCAGCATCTCAGGGTTTTGTAGTAATGGATTCCTATGTTCTCGACCTGCTCCACACTTTCTCAACATGGAAAAACTTCCAAAGATTCAGTTTCTGGACAGAACATTGATGTATCAATAGGCATGATGACAATCACGAAGCAACATACCAGAGCCTTGATGCAGCAGCCATGGCAGTTGTTATCCTGGCCAATGAAGGCAAGCATCCTCCGGGGAATATGTACTCTTTTATGAAATCCGAACTTCTCCTGTACTCGTCGTATCTTTCTTCTGGTATTGAAATAAACTAGAAAGAAAGAACAACAAACACGAAGATGAGCAACACATCCCGACCCTTGTCATGAACCTAGTTTTGTTTTAGATTCTCCATTTTGGCGACTTATTACCTGAAGAACAAGAAGACCATCTTCTGCCAGCGCTGATTCGCAACAACCGAAGAACTCTTCCATGAATTCATGCCCTACAGCTTCGATCATCTCGCTGACAAAAAATAGGTAATCTCAAAAGTTAGTAGCTCTGGAATAGGGCACGGTTTGATATCATTGCAAGAAGTAAAGAGACAACTCTAACCAGGATATGATCCTGTCAAACTTATAGTGCTTGGGAAGTTGGCGATAGTCACAGAGAAGAAACTTGATCCGGTCCTGGTCAGACATGTTTTGATTAGAAGATAAACGAATGAGCGAAAACCCGAAATTAAAGCATCTCAGAAATGTTGCAGAGAGGCTTTCCAGAGTTTTTCCATACCTGAAGTCCAGCTTTCTTTACTTTCATCTCTGCATATTTTAGTTGCTCTTCAGACAAAGTGATACCTGTGTACTTGCACCCAGTTCTTCTCACAACTTCCATGGCTAATGTTCCCCACCCACAACCTATCTCCAGAACTTCCTGTCCTTTGTTGATTTTCGCCTAAAACAATTCATCAAATGTTACGAGACTAGACCTCCTGAGGAACTTTTCAGATATTAGAGTGGTTAAAAGCTGCAGCTCACTTTTTCAATCAGCAGTGAAATCTTCCTCATTTGAGCTGCTCTCAGGTCCTCTTCTTCCGACTATTAACACAATTCACCGACACAAACAAAATGCGTCACTACTATCGAATCATCAATAGATTTCATTAAATGCTTCAGATTATGAGAGGTTTCAGGGTTTGAGACCTTGAACACAGCACAGGAGTACGTCATTGTGTCATCCAAGAACAAGCTGAAGAGGTCATTACTCTGGATAGAACAGTAACATGAAATTGTCAGCCCTTTCTTCTTGGAGATGCTAAGGAAAGATTTGAAACAAGACAATGGAATCTGGGAATATTTACCAAGTCATAATGACGAGAGATGTTCCTGCGAGCTTGTGTTAGTGTGTTCTGCCGCGAAACATGGTGAAGGAAGAACTTTGCTGATGCAATGCTGGCTGTTGAAAGCATTGGAGTCCACCATCCTCTGGAACCCATGTAACAGAAGGAGATGTTGGACTAGTTCAGTAAGTAGGATCTAATAAAACTGTCTGCAATTCGCTTAATCCAACCAGAACAAACCTTCTCTTGCTCAATTCAGTGACATTTCTACCGGAATCTCTATTCGAAATCAGAACCTGAAGAACAATGTGTCACACAAAAGGAGCTTCCACACAAAGACACAGACGAATAATATCTCAGATGCAAGCAAGACTTCAACAAATCCTCTATCTCACCAGGAAGAAATTCAGAAGCCCTTCATCCTTATCAACGAAAGAGAAATCGCCATTAATATATGCATCCGCCAAACCTAAATCAGCCTGTGTCATTATCTGAACAACACACAGACAACCTTTGTCAAATCAGGTTTCCATTTGGGTGAGATACCATAATAAAGAAGAAAGTAAAAGACCTTCCAGTAGAACTGTGGGGAGTGGATCCGCAGAACAACTTTTGGGAAGCATTTTTTGCCAGTTCCTTCAAAGGTGAACATCGTGCCTCCTTCCTCCAACAACCTAGTATTTTCAAAGACCATAAAATGCAGTCATGCAAAAACTGGTTAGGAATTCAAAAAATCCGAACTGATAGTTTCAAGCGAAAGTTTATGATAAGAAGGGGAGGAACTCACATTAAACAACCAGAAGAGATGTAATTTCCAAGAAATCTAGCAACAAAGAGTCGCCCGGCAGTTTCTGACACTGAAGGAACCATGTGTTTTGGGTTGCTGATAAGTTCACACTTCTTTCTCCCAAGCAAACCATTTGCAGCAACCAAACCAGACTGCAACCACATTATGCAACACTTAAAACCCCCCAAACTGGAACATACATCCTTAGTAACTGAATCATTCATGAGCAGGGATAGGGGGAAAAAAACAAAGAAGGAAAGCTAGAACTACCTTCAACCCATCTTCATGGAAGCCGTAACCTGAAAGATGAGACGAAAATCATAAGAAACTTCTCAAGGCTGAATCAAAAGTACAGAAAGGATTGGAAAGATATAGTCCTTTACCCAAGTATGCTCCACAAAACCAGATCCCTCTCCTGCCTTGAATATTGGTAAGCTCAAGTGCAGCTTTTGAAGCAGCAACCGAAGGGACTGGATGGCTGGTTCTCCACTTCAGAAGGGTTTGTTCAGGTGGGTTATATGGATTGAGTGTCACTAAGAAAGGTTGGCTTGTTTCACCAAGATTCTGCCAAGAGTTGAAGACTGACAATTACCACAGCTAGCCAAAGAAAGCGTGCATACATAGTTTTTACTAAACAGGCCAAGTGATCAGTGTTCAAACCTGAAGGACATTGAGCCAGTAAGTGAGGGAGACATCAGTGTCCGTACTCCCCAAGAAATTCCAAGCACTCCATGCTGCAGGATTCCTCGGCATGAATTTGGTGTCGCGGTGAAGGTAGATATCACTGTCCAAATTGAGAAACGTCAGTTTGTGCTTGAAATGTCGAGAAACACAATTAAATATGCTGAGCAAGCACCTTGACATGTACTGGAAAGCGCCGAGAACTCGAGCCTCGTCCGATGTTACTTGCTCCCCAAGTATCTTCAGTGCATCAGGAGCATGAACAGCCACTATGCACCTATCGAACAGCTCTCGAGAACCATCTTTACACACTACTGTGCAACCTGGCTCAAATAGGATTAAAAAACAGATCTATAAGAGCAATGATGGTTCATTTTCTTCTGCATCAAACTGACATGTCATCATGATGCTTAGGGTTTACCCTCATTAGTAGTGGAAATAGACACCACCTCTGAACTAGTCCTTATTTGGCAACCATGTTGTTCCAGCTGCTCCCTGACCTGGTCGACGATTTAAGGTTTAGGGTTTAGGAGAGGTTCTGCGAATGCGATTTTGAAACGATGTAAGGATTCCCATCAGATGGAGATGAACTCACCTTGTTGACATAGGAATGTGACCTCCTTTTAACAGTGAGCCACTGTGGCCTGCCAAAGAGCTGCAGAGACAAGCCAAAACCCTTCATTTTAGCAGGAAAGAAAAACCAGCAGAGGGAGTGGTTGCTTGCATAGAAAGAAACAGAATTCACCTGAAGCAGATGGTGATTACGGCAAAAAGAGAGCACTGAGTAAGCTGAGAAATTCAATACTCCTTCCGAGGGGCAAGACCATATTGAGCCACACATTGGAACCTTCGAGCAATGTTTGGAAATTTATGTTCATCAAAACCATAAAAACAAAAAAAGCAACAATCTTGATTGATTACGAGCAGAAACATTGAACGACCAGAGAATCTCACAAGATAAGCCTTCTGAAACATCTCAGAGTAACCCCGGGAGTGGATGAACTGACCCAATGTCTCGCTACGATCCTCGTATGGGTTGTCCTCGAGCTGCTCGATGTAACTGCACCAATGCAAGAAGGCAGAGACCATGAGAAGTGGATTAACAAAAGAACAGAAGAAAGAAAGTTCCTTTTTCCCCCATTTCTTCTTATGTTACCTAAGAACATCGTCTTTGAATCTGACGATGTCTCGAATCATTTGCCAGAAGTATGGATTGACAGCATTCTTCTTCTGTGAGAACAATCCCGAGAGGCCGTTTCGGCTGCCCCATTCACAGCCTTTGCCTTGGTCCAGGCTAACTGAGAAGGACATGTCTGATAACTCCATGTCAACTCCAAGGCTCTCAAACATCTCCATCATGTTTGGGTATGTCACCTATATCAAGCCCCCAACAGTTTGAGGAACAAACAGGTAAGACGAGCTAGTGTTTGAAAACATTGTTGCTTGTCACATAAATGAAAGAAGAAAATCGAATTTTCCAAGCACTTACTTAGGAACACAACACTGGTTTTGATTTCTAATGATATGAGAAGATAGTATCCGCCAAGTCTAACTCTGGCTCAGACTTCGATTTCTATTTTCTAACGAAATGAGAAGCTGGTATCTATAAATTATTTGAAATAACTCCTACCCCGTGTTATTTCGAAATAACTCAGTTTTACCCCTTTGTTATTGTCAAATAATGGTTCAATCAAAGTTTAAGCATCCTTATAGAGAAGATTCGAATCATGTCAAACTACATTCAATCTTGACTCTTGAGTGTGGAATGTTTGTGAAGAATGGAGATAAGTAGAGTACATAGGGATAGAATTTAAAAAATTTCACCTTTTTTTTCAATTCATTTATATTCGGTCAATTTTAATTTTTTTTACACAGATTTCCTTTCCCTTCGATAATTTGTTTGGCGAACGGGTTTTTTTCCCTTCTTCATTTAATCTACTTTTATCCTTTTCTTTCATTTAGTTGTTTCAACTAGGGGTGGGATTCGGTTTGTCGGTAAACGGTTTACCGTTTTACCGAACCGTTTACCGACGGTATCGACGACCGAGCGTGGCCTGAGTGTATCGGTTTACCGAATCCGGTATCGATAAATACCGACGGTAAATCGGTAAACCGTTTACCGAACCCAAAACGAACCCAAAACAGAAGTTCTCTCATCCAACTGTACCGGGTTCAACTTTGGCTTGATCCCAGCTATTGTTTTTGGTGGGTTCTGTTGATTGGAATAGATATTGCCGCCCAGCTCGATGACGGTCAGGGCATGGCTAAAACTGTTGCCGCCATTTAGGACGCCAAGCAACGTGGGGCACTTCACTTTGCTGCAAGAGAAGGAAAGACTGAAGTCTGCAAGTACTTGTTGGAGGAATTGAAGCTTGATTGGAATAGATATTGCCGCCCACCCCCAAAAACAGTTTACCGAACCCGCCCCACGTCACCCTTGCGGTAATTCTGTAAACCGGCTTGTAACCGTTTACCGGTAATTCGGTAATCGGTAAATCGGTTACAAACCGGTATCGGTAAACGGTAAACGGCTTTCCAAGTGTCGGTATACCGAAACCGGTAAATTCGGTAAACAATTTACCGTTTAACGACCGATTCCCACCCCTAGTTTCAACATATATTTTACATAACAACACCAGGCTTCCGTAATGACTTCACACTTTACGTAACACAAAGTTAATATTCATTACGTAAAAGTACCCACAATTACATAAGACTTCCGTAATGACTTCACACTTTACGTAACGCAAGGTTAATATTCATTATGTAAAAGAAGCCTCAATTACGTAAGGCTTCCGTAATGACATATTACAACTGTTATGTAAAATACACATCTATTACGTAAGGCTTCCGTAATGCATTAACACTTTACGCAATGCAAGGTTAATATTCATTACGTAAAAGAAGCCTCAATTACGTAAGGCTTTCGTAATGAAAGTTATTTCTTACGTAACGGTTAAATTAGAAGCATTACGTAAGACTTCCGTAATGACTTATCACTTTACGTAACGCGAGGTAAATATTCATTACGTAAAAGAACTCTTCATTACGTAAGGCTTCCGTAATGAGATTTTACAACTGTTACGTAAGATACACATACGTTACGTAATTGTTCCGTAATGCCTATTGTGTTTTACGTAATGCAACCTGTGAAACCTGCTATAGTAGGTAAAAAAAAAAAAGCAGGTTACCTTACTTCAAGGCATTGTAGGAATTCCCGTTAGTATTATATAATTTCATTTACTAGTATGACAATATATCATATTTTATCATTCTCGTACAATATCTCGCATCAGCAGCGGCAGATCTAGGGGGGGCCGCTCCTGGGTCACGACCCAGCCCTCTCCTGGATCCGGAACTGGTATAGCTTTGTAAATTTCCAATTTCAGATATTTGTTTATGTTCTCGTTGGTTTTACGGTCCAGTTCTCTCAGCCTCTTTTTCAAATGTGACACAGTGCTTTAGCCAATTCTTGATACAAACGGTTCCAACAACCGCATTCCATTCATTTCATCTTTGTATGTACTAAAGGCTGCCACACCGCACACTGCAGTGCAGCCACCTACCGACCAAAATTGATAAACCTCACAAGCGCACGGGAGATGGATCGATCTAACAAACACCCTCGGCCCACTTGTGTTCCTTCTTTCTTATCTTCACCTTTCATGATTCAATCATATAATAATAATAATATTAGGCAAACTAATTATTATTATTGAGTAACTAATCAAGTGATAGAAAGCTAAGTTTGTCTCTATGGATGTGAGATAAGAGACTCGAGGAAGATTGAGAAGAGAATTAAGGTTTGGACGGGGTAAAATATAATTTTGAATTAGTGACTTGATCAACAATTTGCATTCTTGTTAATTCTAATAGAACGACTAAAGCACAAATAAATAGGTATAAATCTGATAATTAACCTAAATCTAACCGACGAATCGCACAAATTTCTACAGCTACCTAACAACATTAACAATAGTATACTTCTTTGTCACACGAGGACCGAGGTTAATCGACAACATAAGAAAGACAATGGTAAGCAAGTAAGTAAAAAAAAAAAAGATAAGGATTTACATGGTTCACTAATACAACGTATGTCAGCTAGTCCACAGGCAGGAGAGATCAGGTAGCTTCACTATACTTGAAAAGATTATAGAAGAGTATAAAAAGTATTTATGGTACTTCTCTAATGACCTAACCCAAGTCCAATTTGATAAAGAATAAGGTTACGGGACCAGGTCCAACACAGATCAGCCATGATAAATACTTACCCACCAGCGGTCTAACCCTGACCCAATTAGATAAAGAATAAGGTTTACAGACCAGGCCCAACACAGATCATCCGTGATAAATACTTATCCACTGGCCTAACCCGAAATCAAATATGATAAAGAATAAGATTACAAACCAGGTCCAACAACAGATTATCAATGACTTCTAGTCGACGTCACATCATCTAATTCAAGTCACGTCAACGTAGTTATGAAATTCTATCATTAAAAGCATCTTTCTTTTCCTTGGTTTTTTCCAAAATTCCCGTTATAATGAGACAAACGAGGCCAGGGTATTCCATTTCATACACATATATGCACTATTTATTTATAGAGAGTTGTTCAAATTTAGTTTTTCCTTTTTTCCCGCCAAGGGAATTAAGTGTATATGATAAAAATGGCATGGGTCGCCTCTCTAATTTGATTGATTGATATGATTGAATCAAGTGAAATATATAATCAATTGTACGTTCCAGAATTCTGCAGACACAAACGGACATGCAGCAAAACACCATAACTATAAGAAGGAACAAAACAAACCCTTCCAGGCCCCGCTATATTCCGATTCCAATATCTCATCACAACTTGACAAATTATTAATTATTATATATGCAAGGTCAAGGAGATGACAACCCATTCTCACATTTTTCATTCATATTTTTCATTTATTAGATCCACTTTTCTATTTATTGAGGAAAAAAATAGTATAATCAAATAAGGGGATGGGTTTAATGGTGCAAATCCAAAATGTACTAGGGTTCGTTTGGAAGTTGCGATTGTTAAATAGATGTATTGTTGAGAATGTATGTATAATATTATACATGTATTGTCGAATTTGATGCATTGTAGAATACAACGTTTGGTATGTGTGATTGTGCATGTCGCATCAGCTAAAAGCTGAGATAAAACAATCTCAACTCAACTATCTCAACAATCACAACTAAAAGTTGAGATATAACAATCACTCAAAATGAGTGATAGTTTCTGTCACATCACATTGTAAACAATACATGCATTGTAAACAATACATGCATAATGACAATCTCAACAAAACAATTGCAACTTCCAAACGACCCATATATACTTAAATGTTGAGAGTGGAAGTTTTTAGCCGATTACTTGACTGATAGGAGTTTATTACATATTTCACAAACTCATGGTTTTGATGTTTCTTATTAGAGGAATTTTACAATTTTTGTACCATTCGTGTTTTCGTTTATAATTCCTTTTATGATACAAATTGAACTTGTTTGTAGATGTAAATACATTCCACTTAATCGCGCTAATTATTAGCTACTTGCGAATTATATATATTTTTTTTTTTGTTTAGTTGCCCGATCAAATTAAATAAACCTCGTTATAATTTTTTTTTTTAATAAACCTCAAGACTGCTAAATTCTCATCCCAAGTCGTAACTGAACTGAATCACGTAAAACCTAAGAGCATGTGAACGGGATTGGTCCACGTGTAGGCTTTGCAATCGCTAAAACCCTGTCGCATCAAATTCAGCAAAAACAAAAAAGGATAAAAAAAAAAGTTCCAAGCCACAATCAGGTCCCTGATTCTGATGGAACCTACTATTCAGTCCCTAATTAAATTGTTGGAAGACGATCTGATCCCTGTCTTAGTTGCCTATTTGTTTACTTAGATTGAATCGACAACCAATTCGATGCATTGTACGATTAATTTCGTTGCACTTGCACATATATGATGTGTATCTGTTTCATTATTTTACCTTATTTGATTTTACTATACACCTGCATTCCTCAGTGTTCAGATTATGTTATGTATATATTTAGTGTTCTTAGTAAATCGAACGTACAAATTATGCTAAATTCCGTATCAGAGAATTTTTTTTTCAAACTAAAATAAAAAGGAAACGAACGGTTAGAAAAAATTATTTTACGAGAATATCAAACCCGTGAATTTTTCTCCACGAGGTAATGATTAAATATATTCGATAGAAAGAATTCATAATCATTCAACATAAAAAAATCTCTGCTTATGATTTTAACCCGAAATTGGGTAAAACCTTACCCATTTGGGAATGTTTTCCAACTTAAAGTCGTATGATTGAAATGCCAAACTTGTCTAAATTGAGAGCGGTTTTGTCCTTTTTATCCTCATTCAATGGGCTTCACACGAGGACGCAGATGTACATCATAAAAACTTCAGATACGAATTAGTTAGTTTTCCTAAAACCTCAATAACGAGTTCCCAAAACGAGAAACAGCCCTAAACGGTAAAATGTTATAAACGGAAAGAAAACAGCAAATATACAGAGAGAAAAAAAAAAAATCTGTAATGAGGAGGATAAGGGGCAAGAGGCAGTGAAGGCTCGCAGAGCCATTCTGAAGCACAGTGACAGAGCGCTCCATCTTAAACTCTAAGCGCTGAATCCATGGCGAAGTAGACAAAATGAAAGAGCGATTAACGAAGTAAAATTCAAGAAAAAGAAAACTCACTCGGTTGAAAACCATGAAGCCAAGGTCCAAATCCACGCCATCGAAATTGACAGTTTTGGCATGTCCTCCCAGCCACTCTTCCTTCTCGTACACAACCACCTCCGCCGCCGCCGCCGCTTTCGCGACCACGGTGGCCGCGCCCAGTCCGCTTATCCCGCCGCCCACCACCGCCACCCTCATTTTCCAGCCGCTACCACTAATATTACCTGCATTGCAACTTTTTTTTTCCGTCACTAATATTTCACAGAAGAAACCAAATGAAATACAGTAGAGAAACAGAGCAACCGCGGTGGAACAGAGTCACTCACCCTGCCTGGGAAGAGTTCTATTGAAAAATGCAGGCTGAATTAGAACTGGGTTTTGGTTAAATTTGTCGTACTCTGTTTTTTTTTTTGGGAGTGGAAGGGATGCAGGGGAGGCTGAAAAACAGGGGAGGGAGAGAGAGAGGTGGAAAGTGGAGTGTGGGGAGGAAAGCGGATGAGGGTTTAAATAGTGGAAGTAATTTGGGGAAGGAAAGGCGGGATTATTGTTATTATTATTATTGTACGTATAGGCGTAGAGTCGATTAGCGGGCAATGGATTCTTTTGCTCTTCGCAAATGGTACAAAAACAGGGGAAGAGATAAAATGGACAGCGGAGGGACGAGGCAGAGAGAGGATGAACCGAGAAGAAGGCACAATTGGGAAGTCCGGAAATTCCTTCCTCATTTAAACGGCAATTGAAATTGGTTACCTTAATCGACCCTGCCAAAAATGGTTTCGCTCATATGCTTCTATGGGTTTTCTTCTTGTTTTTTCTTAGATAATTAGCATAAACGGCAGTGAGGATATAAAAAAACCGTACCGTACCGTCAGTTCGATCAGAAAAACTTCTTATTGAAAGTGAAATTGGTAGGCGGTAGTATATAGCGGTATGAAACAAATAAATCACGTTTAAACAACGGTTTCTGCATGAAATGCTTTACCGCTGACTTTTCCGGTACGATTTTTTCAATCTTTGATTGAAACAACAGAGAATTGTCATTGATATTATTAGAGCTTGAATTTACGACGACGATAACAACAACGCGATAGTTCTATGGCTGCTGAGATTATGCGCAAAATTTAGTTGATCATTTGACGGACGGAATTGTATGAGAAATTAGATTATGTCTGATATAAACTCATTTGTATGACTATTGGAGAAACTTGCATTGGAAATATAAAAAAAAATATTTACGAAGGTTGTGGCACTTTATTTGTCACAAATATGGTAAGAAATCTCAGCCCTACGTCAAAAGTTTGAACTATAATATAATTTCTTAGATTGCATATTAAAGAATGAATGGGACACTGTAAAAAAAAGAATGAAGGGGGTACGTGTAACATTTCAATCCGCAAAAGTGACACTTTTCAAAAAAGCTTGCGGGATGGAAACAATGTACTATGTCCAAAGAGATCATAAACACTTTAATTACGATTTGTTTTTATCTTGCATGCAGTATATTATTTATCATGTTTCATGTTTACTATTTGTCAATTTAGCTAAAGAGAAACGTAAACACAGAAGCTTTTTTAACGTGGTATCGTCATTAGACACTAGTCCACGGAGAGGATCTCCCTCTCAGGTTTTTTATTCTTATTATTCGATTAAACATCTCCGGTACAGGTACAACGGTTTATATAGGTTTGCTCACACCAAACCCTACAGCTTAACCTTTACGAAGGTTAATTACATTATGGTCCTCATACATTTAACACCCTCCCTCAAATTGATGTTGGGTTCTTAACATCAATTTGGAAGAAAGATACCAATGTTTGCTAGATGCTACAGCCTTGGTCAACACATCTGCTGGCTGCTCGTCAGTGCGCAGTTATCGAAGCTGAACCTGCCCTTCAGCTACAAGTTGCCTTATCTAATGGATATGCACCTCTATATGCTTAGTCCTGTCATGCAGAACGGGATTAATCGCAATCTGTATTGCACTCGTATTATCGCCATTTAGAATCATAGGATTCTTACATATAACTCCTAGTTCTTCAAACAGATGATGTAGCCAGATCATTTCTGAACTTGCTTCTGACATGGAACGGTATTCTGCTTCGGTTGAGGACTTCGACACTTTATCCTGTTTCCTGCAATGCCAAGATACAAAGAAATTGCCAAATTTTATGCACCATCCCGAGGTAGAACGTCTGGTATCCAAACACCCTGCATAATCGGCATCTGCAAAGGCCTCTATCGTTGATTCGCCTCCTGCTGGGTAAAACAAGTCAACATCACTAGTGTGTCTAAGATAGCGAAGTAACCTGTTTACTGCATCCAAGTGAGTCGTCCTTGCAACACCCAAAAAACTGGTTGACCATCTGTACTGCGTATGAAATATCTAACCGTGTATGAGTCAGATAGATTAGGCTTCCTACCACACTACGATAAAATGATTGGTCTTCCAGCAAATCTCCTTCATCTTTGCTTAGCTTCAGGTTTTGTTCCATAGGTGTGGAACATGGTCTGCAATCTTCGAACTGTGTTGAAGCAAGTAAATCCGTGATATACTTTCTTTGACACACAAATAATCCCTGCTTCGAACGTCGTACCTCTAGGCCAAGAAAGTATGAGACTTCCCCAAGCTCCTTAAGATTAAATGCCTGATTGAGAGTGTTTGTGAGTTCCTGTATCCCATCCTGATCATCACCAGTCACAATCATATCATCGACATATAATAAGAGTGCAACAATCCCAAAAGCAGTCCTGCGAATGAACAGAGAAGGGTCATTATGACTTTGCTGAAAACCAGCTTGTAGTATAGTTCCATAGAATTTTTCAAACCAAGCACGTGGAGCTTGTTTCAATCCATAGAGAGATCGAACAAGTTTACACACTGTGTTAGGCCTTGCCTTTTTGTACCCTGGTGGTGGTTCCATATAGATTGTCTCCTTCAAATCACCGTGAAGAAAAGCATTCTTCACATCAAACTGTATTAATGGCCACTCACGCATTGCTGCCAAAGCCAAAAGACTTCAAACAATGGGCATTTTCGCAACAGGCGTGAATGTCTCGTCATAGTCAATCCCGAACTCCTGTCGAAATCCCTGAGCAACTACACGAGCTTTGAAGCGTTCCAAAGTTCCATCTGGCTTGACCTTGATGTTATACACCCATATCGAGCCTATTACTGACATTTCAGGTGTTCTTGGAACTATTTCCCAAGTATGATTTTCTTCTAGCGCATCTGTTTCCGCATCCATAGCCTTCTCCCATTCAGGATGGCCTTTTGCGAACCTATAGTGAGTGGGTATGGGAATTGCTTCAGCCGAGTACCCCACATAGTCCAGCAATCTCACCGGTGGAGCTCCCTTGTTTACCCTGTCTGATTGCCGCGGAAGAGGAGGTGGAGATGGCGGACTCGACAAGTTGTCACCCATTTCACCCCCTAACTCTGTCGAGTCGCCACTGTCAGGGAGTGAGTGCGAGCTTGCTCTGGAACCCAAAGAAAATGGCACAGGGGAAAGGGACTGATCACCCCCAAATGAGGAAGGGTCAGACGACGAGGTGGAGTTCGTGTGAATGGATGGCGTGTGAGGTAGTGAAGTCTCAGGAGGACCGCCATTTTCTTCCGGCCCTCCCTGCGGCGCTGCCGCATTATTGCCAGGTAAAGCCAATGGGAATGAATCAGGGGGAAGGAAATCCAACGAGGGAGGAGGGCTTTCCTTTGTCAAGGAATAATGCATCACTTGCTCGAGAAAGACAACATGATAAGCAATTCTCATTCGACGCTGTACTGGATCATAGCACAAGTAGCCCTTGTGCTCATCATCATAGCCCAAGAAAACACTGCGAACTATTTTTGGAGCAAGCTTATGTCGATCACGCTTGGGAAGAAGCACGAAACATAGACAGCCGAATACTCGCAGAAATGAATAATTCGGTGCTTTGTGATATAGTACCTGGTAAGGGGACTGATTTCCAATCACATAGGACACCTGCCGATTGATGAGATACACTACCGTTCGAACGGCTTCAACCCAAAATCCTGTTGGAACACAGGAGTGGAACAAGATGGCTCGGGTGAGTTCTAAAATATGCATGTTCTTCCGTTCAACGAGACCGTTTTGTTTCGAGACACCTGGACACGAATGTTGAACTAGAATTCCCTGTGAGGTATAGAATTCTGTGAGAGGTTGAGAACTGAATTCACCCCCATGATCAGATCTGATAACCTTCACGGTTGTATGAAACTGAGTCTGCACCATTTTAACGAAGGCCTGTGCATGAGTAATAAGCTCTGATTTCCTTCTTAAGAAGTAGATCCATGTGTACCGTGTGGCGTGGTCGGTTAATAAACCAAAATAATGGAAACCCATTCGAGAAGTAACAGGTGATGGCCCCCACAAATCAGTGTGGATTAAGTCGAAAGGCTGATCATACTCTGTATCGCTAGGCAGAAAAGATGATTAGGATGTTTTAGCTTCAATACAGCTCACACAAGTACTAGGGGCAGCAAAACTGGAACTCAATTTATCGGGTAATAATTGAGTGCGAAACATGTTCAATAAACGCGCCGAATGGGGATGACCCAGACGGCGATGCCACAGATCCCATGTAGATGAATGAACAGAAAAATCCAACTCTCCAGGTTGAACATAATACCCTAAAACATTAATATCCTGACCAGACTTATTCGAAGCTGCCGAATGTGCTTTATTACAAAGAAAGGAAGTGTCATCATCAATAGGACCTCCAGCCAAGCTTCCATTATTCTCGTCCCCTACTACTGCCGCTAGTCCATCTCCTCTCCTAGATTTGTTGTACTCATCTAGGATAAACAAGCGACCATTCTTATGGCCTTTCCCGATCACCCTCCCTGTTTTCCGATCCTCCACGACACACCCATTAGAATTAAACATCACATCGCAATTTTCTTTGTTCAACTGCCCCACAGAGACAAGATTCGGAACGAGATCTGGAACATATAGCGTATCTGGGAGCTGAACATTGCCGGATAAAACTCTGCCTGATCCACGAACAGGAACCTTAGTTCCATTTGCAACTTGTAATGTCATAGGAGCTACCTGTTGAACCTTAGAGAAGCATTTGCGTATACCAGACATATGATTGAAAGTTTCGGAATCAAGTAACCAACGAGGAGTTTTACCCGATGAACCACCTGTACCAAAAGCTGCATTCAAGGCCTGTGGAAG